CTGTCTGATCACCTCTCCCCAATACTTCTTAGGCCGTCCTCTACCTCTTCTCGTGCCCTCCACGACTAGCCGCTCACACCTTCGTACCGGAGCATCTGGGCTTCTCCTCTAAACATACCCGAACCATCTGAGTCTCGCTTCCCGCATCTTGTCATCAATGGGAGCCACATGCTATTTCTCCCGAATATCATCATTTCTAATCTTATCCATCCTAATGTGCCCGCACATCCATCCTAATTTATAATAATAAATAAAAAAATAGGACAAACTTTTCTTAGTTCTTTCGTTTTTTAAATTACTAATGCCTAAATCACTTTTGAAAACCTCTTAACACCATAGGCTTATCACATAAGTCAGTGCTTTTGTCACTCATTTTTTTTAATTTTTATATACTAATACTAGAAAAAAATCAATCATTTACAAGATAACTCTAAGGAATTACCAACAATACAACTTCTTTATAATATCCATTCTTTTGGAACTAATTTTTAAAAAATATTGAAACGAACGAGATTGTTATAGAGAAATTCAAGTTACGTGCCGTATGTTCCGAGATAAAGGTACTTGTTGCCGAAAACTCTGCCAATTCGAGCTTCCCATCTTCCATTATGGTGATGTCTGTTAAATCACGCATAATTACATAAATATTTTAGGAACAAAGAATAAATAATAATGCAAATTAAGTGTCAAATGTTTTATTTATTTGGTAAACCTTGCTACTCCACGATATTTGGAAACTCCTCTAGAGAATCCACTGCTTTTCCTGCAGTGTTGGGAACTCACCCATATTACGTCAATGGGTTATTTATGCAAATAAATAGCAGAAGAAAAAAAAAACCTCTCTTTTTTTCTTTAAAAAGAAATTCAAAACATTTATTATTCAATAAACTTACCTTCTCAATGATCCAATATATTCTTCTCTGGACTGACCCTCCATTTCTATGATTTCTTTTTCATAAGTTGATAGCTAAAAGAATTAATGAATATCAGTAGCTTCATTTTTTTTATTTTTTATATATTAGTTTTGTGGATAACTAATTATATATAGTAAGCTTAAACGGATTTTAATTAATTAAGAAGAGTTATTACCGGAAAATTAAGAATGGTCTCACTTCCCCAGTATTTAAGTGCAGCCAAATCATAAGCATGAGCAGCTGCTCCTTCATCATCATAAGCACCTATAGAAAAATTACCATATTTTAAACCAACATTTATTCCTTTACCAAATAAAAGGAGATAATTTATATTATTTTGAATAATAAAATCAAGAAATTTTGGCCATGGTACTTACCTAGATAAACTGCATTTCCCCAGGAGAGTCCCATTTCGAAAAAAAAAA